CGACGACTTAAGTCATGTTGCGAGTGAATTCTGTCTCTCTGATCCTCTTAGCAAACATACTGCTAAACCTGACGAACTGGTAAGAAGTATACTCCGACAGGTTGACGCACGCCCACCTTTCCGTACGCCTGTGAAACACAAGGCATTCATAACCGAGTGTGTCATCAATGACCTGCCGGATCCGCAGTTTGTTCTAACATCCTTTGATGAAGACATTTCAGACTGTGTGTATTCGTTCATATATGCAACGTGATTCTTTTCTTGTGAATTTTTGTCTCGAGAAAATTTGTGTCTGCGACTGCAATTTTTATGGTTCAAGCTCCACCAGCTACGAACAGAAGAGATCAGCTTTGACCAATAAGAGACCATGGGCCACAAGGTTCCAGCGCCTGTCACTGAACCAGAGGCCGCTGAGACACGTGCAAAGCCAAGCGCAAAATCACCCCAAGTCTGCAAGCCGACCGACGTCACGGTCGAAAAGAAGTCAAAGCGCAGAACGTCAGACTGAGTCACCTCCTTTGGAGGAAACTGCTTTTCCTAAACATGCAAGGTGATTTACCGAATCTGCCGGAGTTTTTTGATCTTCGGAATCTGATCCATCCATTGGCTCCACGAGCATCAGCTCCAAGCAGAGCCGCTTCGAAAGGGCCGGCGTTACGGCCCCAGAAAGGAAAGGCAACAGGTAAAGGAAAGAGAGTGCCCGCTCCTGAACCGAGTGGTGAGAGAATTGCACGCCAGACGCCAGTTCGTGCAGAATCAAGAGAAGAGTCACGTGCGCCTGCCGACCGACGTTCCGGTCAAGGCAAGGGAAAAGGCAAAGGCAAGGAGCGACGAGAGCCCGGACACGACCAAACGCAATGGATACCGCCTTTGACAGGCCCGATTACGGTGTAAGCAGTTGCTTCATGTTCTGTCTCTGGTCTGGTTTCTTTAATCTCAGTGAAGCCGCCATTCAGCGAACGCAGCAAACTTTTATTTACGAAAAGATCTCAAGGGAACTCAGTTGGGTCCTCCGACATTCCGGATGGACCCACACTGTAATGACAAGTCCTTAACCGTCTTTGAATTGATGGCAGGCGCCCGTTTTAAGTTCTTGTTGAGTGACTGGAAGCAGCGATGCGTGGAAACCGATGATCCGGACTTTCCGGTCATCCAGAAGTCCCAGATTCCGACCTGGTGTGAGCGCTCTAAATATGCTGCTTCCGTTGGTCTTCGCAATCTATCACAACCGTCGCTACCAGATCGCACCCTGGTCGGTGAGCGACCACCAGAGTGGCGAGAGGCTTATTGATAGAACCGGTGCGTGGATTCACCCAGCCTCTAGCAATGCCGAAGAGCGGAAGTCGTTTGCTTCTACATATAAACAGCAGTGTAAGGCCGCTCACGTCTTCGTGCAAGCAGTGTCAAGCCACTCTGGAGGAGCCGACGTTCCGGCATCCACCTTAAACATTGAGCAGTGCCAGATGTCCGACATTCCGGACAGTCTTGTGTACACGACAGAGTTCCGCCATCTAAAGTCAATATTCCAGAATGGCCTATTGCCAGGAGGAGGAAACACTCCTGGAGCAGAGCTGCGTAACGTGAATCACTTTCTTCCGATCAATGCCTTGCTCCTAAAACACGAGCGTGTTCGCCCAACTGCCAACGTGGCCCTTGTCCTCTCTAAGGCCACTCTCGCGCAAAACCATCACACCCAATTTTGCTTAAGCAAGAACGGTCATTTCCTGACTTGGGAAGCCGTTCCAGCAAGCACGCTTTCCTTGGCCTGGAACATGAGACAGCAACTGTGTTTCCTGCAAGGTGTTCGACATTCCGCACACCAGTCCGGCAATGAGCGTTGAAGATGAGGGCTACCTCCGTTTTTACTACAGTCAGTTTTACTGCGAGGTCCTCAGGCTCACAACTAAAGGCCATGGCAAGTTTAGCGTCGAAACCCGAAGGCTGGCCTGTAAGAATTATTGCAAGAACCGTGAGATCGAAAGGTGGCACGCTCAGAAGCAAGAGGACCTTGACAGCCACCAGCTCCATGGCATGTCGAAGATCGCTGCCGAGACTTGGCTTAGTTACCTCAACGTTAACGATGAATGGCGCGATCAAGAGACAGATCTCCGTCGCACCAAGAAAAAGACTCTTTCCGAAACTACGGAAGAGGACGTAGCTGAACTTTACATCGATGATGATGAGGCAGACGATGATGCCATGGACGTCGATGCCGACATTCCGGCCGACGATGCAGATGATCAAGAAGTCATCGATACGCTAGATGATCAAATGATGGACGGCAAGAAAGGTGAGAAGAAGTCCGACATTCCGGACAGCTTGTCAGCGCCTTCCACAGGTGAGAAGCCTAAGTCATCCGAAGCAGCCAAGAAGGAGAAAGAGGCAGGTTCCCGAACTTGGGCCTCTCGTGCCCGGTCTCGCACGCCAACGCGCACTGTCCAAGAAAGCAGACCGATTCTTGAAACCTATAGCCCGTTCGCCTTCAGCAGGTCGACGCCGTGTGTCCTTTTCCTCCGACGTTCTGGAGACGAGATGTTTTGAACCCACGGCCGAAAAGCGAGCCGCATCGCGAGCGCGTGAAGCGATGAAGGACGCCGCCGACGCCAGAGGCGGCCAGACACTATGCTGTGTGCAACTTGCAATCTTGAAGAAGTTCTTTTCTTCTGTCGCGCGCTTGTGGCCACGGTACCTGCTTGGACTGCTTCCATGACAAGGCCAATCAATGTGAGTGCAACTCTTTGTTTTTGAGCTCAACGATCCCAGATGCCGACGTTCCGGCACCACTGGGCGAAGATGGAACGGCAGGACATTACTGCAGAGATCAGTTTTACAACGTAACGCCTTTTGCTCCCGAATCTGAAGGATGGACTCCTCTGGACAGAATGGCTGCACGCCGCCGACGACTGCGAGAGATGAGGACTTTGGTAAACGGCGGTGGATCCACTGGCTTTGCAGCCATGGACCGGATCATTTCAGCAGGCTCGGGTAAGTATCACTGTAGTAATCCAACTTACCATGCGAGAGGTGCCATCCATCGTTGAGCACTGGAATAACCAGAGTGAGGTCGCCCCATAGCCTATTGTCCGACCTAGCTGCTTTATTATTAGAACCGCCGATATTCCGGCCATGAGACGCGTCGCATAGTCGACCTTTGCCGAAGCCACATGGCTGGCTTTCGTGCTAACCAAGGCGACTTTAATTTGGAGGACGTGAAACTGCTGCGGTCGACCGAGCATGTTTCTGTTTTGCTGTTGAATTTGGGCAACATTAACCGTCCTCCTCGTTTCAATGGGAAGCATTAATTGCCCCGAAGTCTCCAGGAAGGCGACCAGTATGCGGTTCTGCCACATTATTTGGTTCGCAATACTGCTCACGTCACGATTCTCCTTGAAGCAGGAGGCCTGGAGAGACACAGCGATCTTTTCCAACAGTGCAATAAGATGTGCCTTGTTGCCATGCCTCATGGGCCAGCGCATCCGATCGCTTGTGTATGCTCATCGGACGACGTTACGTCCAGGCGTGAGCTTTTGCGCTGCGTTCAACTTGATTCAGATCGCCTTAGTTGGCTTGCGCACGCAGCAACTTTTAGAGTCATTTGGGGCCAGGTCGATGAGGGGCATCACGACCCAGCTACAGGCTCCGTCGTTACCATCTTGGACAAGATCCTAGTTTCTGCAAATAGGCCGCGTGAACCTCACCAACGTATTACCTACAATTGGGAGGTCTCTACTTTAGCCATAGAGCAGGTTGCAGCGCTAGCCGGCCGATGCCGACTGCCTTATGCAGATTGCGCTGAACTATGGCAAAGATATGCGCGCGCTAGGGAAGAGGTCATCCGACATTCCGGATGATAAAGGCCGTCTTGGATACGAAGGACATCCGTGTCAAACATAAGCCCTCATTAAGGTCAATGAGTACCTGAAACATATGAACCGTAGAGATTTTTGCCTAAAGAGCAGCGACAATGCTTATCATCGCCCGCATCAGTGTACCTTCCGGCTCGCTGCAAGATCCAACGTTCGAGTCCGAAGTGATGCTTCTGCGCAACAGCGAAAACAGAAGGACAAAGAACGGTCCCAGTGGAGACGGCAAGATTGGTGGCAATCCTCTGCCTCTTCTTCCTCACGGCGCCAGCCTAACTGGGACACTGGATACAGGGGGTATAATAGAAGATGGTAAAAGACGTCCAAATTGTCGACCTTCCGGCAATTGAACATAGAGAGAGTTGTAGCAGATGAGATTTAGATAGATTTTGGAAACTCCTTACAGCTTTTGTTGAGAGCCAGAATGGCATCTGCGGTCAAGTTCTGCGATGCCAGAACTGTTGTAATTCATTTGCACTCTTTTGTACTTTTGCAGCCGAAAGCTTCGACGCGAAGAAAATTTGTGTTTGTTTGTGTTTTGTAGGGTCCTAGGTTCCCCTAGGCGTGTCTACGCTATACGCGTGTAGCGCCTGTTGTCCGTAGTTACTTGTACATATGTTCTCTTCAGTCAGCTGCCGCTTAACTCATTTGGCTCAAGACTTTGAAGCCCAATACCTGCACCCCGTGCCATAGAAAAGTGTGCTCGCCGCCGCTCGCACACTAGCCACAAGAGAGAGGGTCTTACTTGGTGTTATCGATCAGGTCCAGTGTACTTCACTGCCACTTTGGGGAACTCATCCCTCACCCCACCCCATCCCCCCCCACCCCACCCCATCCTTCATCTTTAAGCCCTCCCCATTCGTGTTTGTTTGTGTTCTAAAGTGACCTAAAAAACCTGGTGTGTTGTGTTCCAAAGTGATCTGTCAGAAATTGGTTTTTGTCAACCCTTCCATGTTTTTGGGTTGTTTTGTGTTCCAAAGTGACACATCTTTTGTGTTCCAAAGTGAACTAAAACTTGTGTTCCAAAATGACTCTCCGACCTTCCCAATGTACTGTTTCCCAAGAAGATGAGCCAAACGCAGGGCTGGTCTGCACCCGCTTTATTCACAGCAGTCAATGCTGACCTTCGAAGGGGATCAGTTCCAAGGTGGGCAAAGGCTTCTGGTTTGCATGCAAAGGATTCATAAACTCAATTCGTCGCACACGGCGACAACAGTAAATCTAACATGAAACAGTGCGAGGCTTTGATCCCAACATACCTCGTCCAAGGCTTCTGAGTGCTTGGATCCATGGCAGGTGCAGATGCAATTGTTCAGAAGATCATGGCCTTACCCTTTCAGAAGGCGGAACCTGTTACTTGGTCCGTCCCACCTCACCAATGGCCTTCAACTAAAGCGTCCTACATTGTTTACATTCAACTTGCAGTTTGCCTTGCAAACGTGAACACTTGGATGTCTGACACTTTAATTCCAAAGATGTGTAATGTATATAGGTGTTTTGGAGTTCCCATTCAGTCTCAATCATTGGAGGTGCAGCATCAGATCGTTAAATGCGACTGCCAGCCGTCAGTGAACGATGGCCGCTGCCTTTGACAAAACTAGAACTCAGGTTTCTTTCCACGAAAAGTGCATCCTGTGCTAAAGAACCTTTGACCCTGACGAGGCATAGTTATTTTCATCACTGGAAACTTATTGGTAGATGACAATGCGAATCCGCTCAAGTGTAAACCTCAGTCTTTTCGCTGCGCTGATGGTTTTCGAGTGGTTCCTGGACTGGTTCAGCCTCCGACTGCCTATTTTTAGTCTTAAGACGCAAAGTAGTGAGCGTCCGATTCAAGCTCACAAGGCATTTCATTTCGAGGAGTTTTTTCGCTGTAACCTTATATTAGCTATGGGTTCACCACTTTCAACAGGACTTTGCATCAGACACCAAAGATTAAAATACCAAAGATTCCGTTATCGTATCATCTTTCTATGCGCATCATCCTGCCTTCTTTAAAAGAGCTTCATTAATAAGAGTCTGCTTCTGAGAATGGCCTCATCCTTCATGAACAGTTCATCTTTGGTAAGGGTCCTACATTTGGAAGGACATTCTTTAAGAACTCTATACTCAGTGAAGACCTCGTAGCATATGTGAAGTTCTGCATTTTGGTAAGAAGCTATGGTGGATTGAATAATCTCTATATCAGGGACAATCCTTGCAATACATTGCAAGACTGTCCTTCCTTTACATGGGTTTTTGTGCTTGATATATGGTGTTTTCCTCCGTCATAGCAAAAGAGCCTTCACGTGTACTGAATAAACGCACGTGTCACATGTCATCCTTGATAAACTCCACGCCTTCCATGATACAGGTTTCAACCATAACAGTCTTCCCCTTTGGACCAGTGGTTGAACGTGTCAATCCTACGCGACCAACTTTATCCTCAGGATAGATGATGATTAATCTTGTCAAAGTACACTCAAAACATCCCTTATTTTTACATTCCAGGTCCCTACTGGTTCGATTTGCAGTGGTCGGGGATTTGACGAGACGGTTTGCAACCGACCCTAGGTTTGCTCAAGTATTTCAGCTTGTCAAAGGTCCAACAGGGTGCGGCTGCTTTGCTGTCACATGCATTGAACCGCTTCAATAATGATGTTTGCCAAGCCGATGCTTTTGCTGCAGGAATTACTACTGTCACAATGATATGTTTCGGCTGAACATTGGCTGAGAGGCCTGTAGACACCCATGCTCCACTAGGCTCGTGGCTTGTAAGCCCCATGCACAGAAGAGTCCGACAAAAGTGCAAGTGCAAAACCATAGACACCTACAAACAAAGGCCTTCTTAATTAGACACTCACACGGGTAGATAATTCAAATCACTTTGAGTGGGTATTTGTATCCCCTACAAATTCTTGGCTTCCATTGACAATGAACAGTGTCGAATGTGAACCAAAGCAATGCACGGCTCAGCATGTGCTGCAAGCCTTAGCGAAGTGCTGGCGAGTCAAAATGCCGATGAGACTTTGACTTTCAATTCTCGAGAGGTTAAACATTGTTCAAGTGAGATTCTTTTGTATGATTCTCAGACGAAAGTGTCCTACAGCAGGCTCAGTAATTTCATCGAATTGTGCTGATTGGCTGCCAGCGAGTTGCTTGGGGTTGGACCGGCCACGAGCCTTTGACACTGCCAGAACCCAAGAAGAAATCTAGATTGCAGGATTTGGCTTGACAAAGTCTATCAGAGCAAGAGTCATGGGATTCGCATATCATAAATCCAACTCTACCGGCCTTGTATGAATCGAAGGCAGACCACCATTGGATTTTCCTACATCCTGTTTTGAGAGTTTCATTCGAGGTTTTCGTGGTGAAGCGACCCTGAAAGATGCAAGCCCTATCCTCAAAACGATGATGCAATTGATGCAGTGAGGTTCTGTTCATTACTAGTAAGCTGCGGTCAGGCGCAAGCACTATCTGCACCGGCAGCCTGCGCCAAGATGCAGGCCAGGTGGAAAGCAATGTTTACCATAGCCATATCTTGACTGTGTGAGGCTGGGCAAGGCAACGTAAGGCTGACGCCCAAGGAATCAACCAGCTGAGCAACAGGAACAATGTGCAGGGAAACGTTATGTGACTTTTAATCAACCTTCAATCCTTTGTCAAGAGTATTTCTGAAGGCTGATGGATGCTTTCAAGAAATCTGTGGAGAGCCGAAAGGCAGGGTCTCAGCGTCGAAGTTCGATCGGAATAGAGAACACGAGTGAGTGCTTCATGCCACTTTGTTGGACAAGTGCCCAGACCAGTCCAGGACAAATCTTTCAACAACTACAGGGACTGGAGCTTATAGTGCCATTTTCACATGTGGTGTCAAGCAGGAACACATGGCATTTCCAAGCATTGAGAATAATCTCATGTAATTTCCTTGCGCAATGCAAGAATGGAAGCAGTTGCGTGTTCATTGACTTTCATTGAGCCTTGCGCAATGGCTCCAAGGAAAGGCGAACTGAATCGCAAAAGCTCAGTGATCAACTGAAGACACAGGTGCATGGAACCAAGTGAGCGCTGCGCTGTGTGAGCAACCCCCACTCTTGCTGTTCATGGCCGTTTGTTCATGGCCTGGGCACTTGCTGTTTTGCGCGATGGGGGAAGGGTTTCGCTTCCTGTACTGGATTGCATGTTTGTCTTCCCAAGAGATTCCAGGACATCCCTGAAGAGCAGAAAGAGGTCATCAAGAAGAATTATGCAGCGCAGCAGGACTGTCTTGAACATTTGTGCGTTGAACATCGTCGAACCTTGTAGCTCGGCTCGAGTTTAAATTGGCACTTGGTGATTCCGTGATTGCCGGTGAGCTTAGTCATAGTATCATTCAAGTATCCAAACATTCGAAAAGACCGCAGACAGCAGTGTGAGTTGAACGATTATGTTGCACAGCTTGTTGGGGTTAGGTGACCCTCAACTCGAATGTGCTGTGCACGAACAGGATGATTACTTGAGGGAGAGCCGCAAAGAGATCACCATCAGCGATTTCAAGCTGTTGAAGGCGAAGCATTTTGTGGAAATGGCAACCGTTATCCCCACTTTAGAGTACCCCTGAGCCCTATAGCCTTAGCCCTCCAGAGTCCTTCCACACTGGATTCAATTTGATGTTTTCTTGTCGAGGTGATAGGCACTGGCGCCTTTGGAATCGTCAGACTTTGCCGTCACAAGGTGGAGAAGCGGCATCCCCATGCTCAAATTCCATCCGTAGCAAAATAATTTGGTGGAGACTTGCTACTAGGTAGCATTTTTCTACAACCTTGAATCTCCACACTCCACACACTGTGAGGGAACTGGTGAGATTCGTGCCATGAAGCAAATGAGCAAGAAGGAGATGGTTTTCAAGAATCAGGCCAGCCGAAATGCGACTGAAGAGTGGGGACAGGATGTTTCGACTTTTGAGGCCCCACTCAAGCATCTTGAAGATCCCGTTCAGGTTCATCATGTGAATGCCGAGAAGGATGCACTCAGCGTAGCCAAGGACTCCCACTGATGGCTTTATTTAGGCATGGTTCCTTCTTCTATACAGTCACTTCCTCAAGCATCGATTCACAACATGCTTGCACAGGATGACTGGATTATCGGATTGCACTACACCTTCCAGGATGACCAGTATCTTTACATGGTCATGGAGTGCCCTGTAGGTTTTCACAAGCCCACTGCAGTATGCGAATCGCAACCAAAACCTGTAGGATGTCTCCCAACTGCACTCTTGAAAGCGGAGAAAGTGAGTTGCACACTTTGCAGTTACTTGCCTGGCGGTGACCTCATGACGCACCTCATGCGGAAGGATCTATGAACTTGTTGTTGATTGACAAACAATTTAGGTCCCGGAGTCTTGTGATACACTGCTTGTTGAACTTTGGACAAAGCTTAGGAATTTTCAATTGAGTGCAGCTGATTTGCTTGTATTGTGACATGCGCTAGACTCCTTCCATCTCAAATTGGGACAAGAAAGGTCTACCTGCGACAGGGCAGCGTGTTCTAGCAGGGTTTTGTTATCATTCTCCCTTTCATTGTTTGAAACAGGACACCTTCACTGAGGAGGAGACCCGCTTCTATATCGCGGAGCTTGTAGAGGTTGCAAATGTTGAGCACCTGTACACTTGCCATCAACGCATATCCCCTTGGGAGCCGGTGAGCTAGTGACCAGGCTATTGACTACATCCACACGAACTTGCACTACATTCATCGAGACATAAAGCCTGACAATATTGTCTTTGACATTGATGGTGGGGCTGTCTTCTCATTGTACTGTTCCAACCTTACGTACAGATTCTCACATGGTCCGTATCCTTCGGAGTATTTCTTCAATTGCCAGGCCATATTCACCTGCTGGTCTAAGACTCAATGTGAGTGTAATCTGTTGGTGAGTCCGTCTTGAGGACTCTTCTCCGCTAAGGACTTTGGCCTTTGCAAGTACCAGCAACCGGAGCCAGCGGAGAGCGGCGACTCTGAAAAGCAGCCAGATCCTCCCAGTGGTTTGCCCGGCACAATTGTCCACTATATAGGAAGATTGCAAAACCATTGCTGCTCATTGGCTGTAAGGAGCTTCTTCGATTTTGCCTGATGCACTTGAACCCTGGCTAGGTCCTTCTAACTTTCGTGCAAGACATCCTCCTCGAGAGAAGATGCAATCTGTAGTCTTGCCCTAAGATGCTTGATGCAAGACCAATGAGTGGGACACTGTGACCAGTGACTTTGTTGCCATTGTTCCCAGGTTGGTACGAGCTGCTGGCAAGTTTGCAGCCTCTACAGAGGTTTGTTTTTCCAATCGTTTCTGAGCTACTACTGTAGTAGCAAGGTGCCTGTTATTACTAGCGATGTGGCCAGGCCTGACTACATGGGTCCGGAGGCGGGGGACTGACCTTTTCCGTTCATGGTGATCATGGATTTCATCGGGCGCAGCAATCCCTGGACTGACTCAGTTGAGAGGTCTACAGAAAAGCTCCATACGGAAAGGAGTGCGACATGTGGTCCCTGGGAATCATCATGTTCGAGGCTGCCCGCAGACACACATATCTAAGTGTGTGGTTTCTTGATCATTTTGGCATGCACCAGACGATTGTTCCAGATGATGCTGTGTTTTGCGGAGTTGGGGTAGACAGCCCTGCACCACCTCACGGTGCACAGTTAATGCTGGTTTTGATCAGTGCTGCAGCTATGCGATGCTGAGATGCTATTTGGTGGTCCTCCATTCAGCGATGAACGGCACGATCCATCAGTGCTACCCTTGGCGTGGCTCAAGTTTTGTTTGGTACCAAGTTATGTTTGCTGTTGTTACTGCTGTTTGTCGGGTTAGTTGGGATTGTTGGGTCGTTTAGGTTTCTGGCTGTGTTGGCAAAGATGGTGGGGCTACTTATAAGCTATAAAGGCTTCTGGAGTTGTTGGGTGATTCTTTGCTGCTTCTTTCCTTTGAGTGTGATGCTTGAATCCATTTCGGACGCAAGAGCATGGGAGAGAGGATTGCTACAACTGCAGCATGATGCTTCGCCAACCACGTCCAAGGTGACCTCTCGACGGGTGATGGATTGGCGGAGGTGGTTCAAGATGCCACCAGATCCCAATGTTGGAGAGGAGGCTCTTACCGCAATTCAATTACCACATTGAACTCTATTGTTCATGATTTTTGAACCCTTCTTGCCTGCAACCCTGCCCTGCGTAGTTGGATCACTCGTTCTGCCCATCAGACCAGAGCTCTCTTTTGATGCCAGGCACGCAATTTGCTCAGAGGGCTTATTTGTGACCCAGAGGTGCAGTCCATGCAGACAGTTGAGAACTCTTAGATTCACCTAACCCCTTAACGAGCAAACCACAGCATTGGCATTGTGCTGTGGCAGGAACGGCTCACGGCAGATCAGATCCGTGGACATCCCTTCTTTCGTGTCAGCGTCCAGCTTTACACACTATACCTTATGTATCAGTTCCACGGTTCATTTGCTTATATAATTGTTTGAACAGTCGGCAGAATGCTCTTCTTTCCATATATATATATACAAAAAGTCCACAAAGGCGTTTGCCTTGAGTCAGCCTTTGTTTGTTGCCAGGGGTTGGACTTCAAGAAGCTCCGAAAAATGTCTCCGCCAATCAAGCCAACTGCAAGAGCCTCAAACTAGAAGCGATGGCCTCCAACCCAACCTAAGAGTGATGGCCTCCAACCCCAAGAGCGATGGCCTCCAACCCGATTGGATTGTCTCAGGTCAAAGGGCCCTTGGATACCTCCAACTTTGATGACTTCAGCGGAATAGATGAGAAATTTGTCATCCACAAGGAGAGACACAAGGTGCCCCAGGTTCTTCATGCACGAGAAAAGGTTACAATATGATGACTTGAAATCGGTTCATGGCTGCCTGGGCAGGCGAAAGTAGTTTGTAGCTTTCTTGGGTGGAAAGGTGACAGGCGATCGAACATCTCTGGCAGCGATGGGCTCTCAGTGCCATGATAGAGATCTGCAACTTCAGTTTGTAGAGTGATGGCTTTGTTCTCCCCACGTTCAATTGTGTCGTTTCGCAACCGCAATCTGCAGAGGTTTCATGACTACAGCTATCGCCGAGATCTTGAGGCGAAGTCTCACAGCTTCAGACACTGCACGCATTTTTGTCGCCAGCAGTCTTGGCAGTCTTGACAAATACAGTATCAGTTGCAGAATAAGACGAAACAGTAGTAGTTTTCTGATGTGCTTGGAGAAGTCTTCGAAGACGTCTTCGAAGAAGCACCCCAGCCAGAAGTCCCTTTCCAGAGAAAGCCCACAAGAAAGTGCAGTGCTCAACTCACTTTCGGCCCTTCAGATCCTTTCAGCTCCTCCAAGGCCAAAAAGCCCTCTATCTCAGCCGCGCTGAATTCTGCAAGTCTCCCTGCAAAGAATTCCGAGGTTCGGCTCTCGACCTCCAAGCTTAGCTCAGAGAGATGCCAGAGATTCGAGTTCTTCTTTTTTGCCCGTGGCCCTGCCTCCTTACTTAATTAGCAGGTGTTTACTCAATTAAGTAAGGGAGCAAGCTCCTAGCTACATGGACACTCCTAGCTACTCGACGCAGGATAGCTCAAGCACTATTCTTTTGGTTCCTAGATTTTCAGGAAAACTTACTAGCTGAGGCCGTTGTTGCCAAGTTGGCGGAACCTCATAGTGTGCAAGGAGTGCGCCGTCAAGAGGTTGACGTCGCATGCTCCTGAAGAAGCATTGAGGTACTGTAATAACTTAGTATGTGGCCTCCGCACCAGCCGTTGCGTTGGTTTCTTGGACCGTACTTTGACTCAGGAGTGCAGTGCTGTGTGTTGACCCCAGTTGGGCAGTTGGGCGTGCACAAGGGTACTGGTGGACATTTTCATCCATAACTTTTTGCGGGGTGATAGAGAGGGATGAGAGGGCGAGGCTGCTGGAGCCCCAAAGCATAGTTGAAGGCTCACAATGACCGAAAGGCGATCCACGAAGCAGCACACGTGACACTGTAGCAACCAAAGTCACTTTTTCCTTTGTGTAAACCATTTTGTTGCGATGCAGGCAGGTGGCAGCCGCACTGTGGCAATGAGTGCAGGTGGTCTCACATCAGGCGAAGACCAAGAAGACTCATTTCACATCATTTCACAAAAAAGTTGCTGTATCCCTTGCATTCAATGAAGCAGTTCTGAGCTCTGTTGATTAGACTCTTGCACACTGTCTAGAATTCCCCCAGGTGAGAGTGGCTGGTATGTTCAGGGTCGGAGGCATAGCATGCTTACAGACAGCTCTCAGTCGCAAAGCTGTCCTGCGGTTGTTGCTAAGTGGCTCCTTTGTCATCTTGCTTGGCTCGTGACTCGAAATGCACCTTGAACCGGTGAGCTGCAAAAAAAGCCGCAGTAGGCAGAGATACACAGAGATGTGCAAAGTGCCCATTGATCACACTGCAAAGATTTGGAGAGTTTTTCAGCAACTCTTAGACTGCTTGATGCAAGCCAATTCGACGTTACACACGTTGCTCCCACTCCTTGAAAGCGATGGCTTCTCGCCATGGTTCCTTGATTTTCTGCCTGGTGCTCTTTGTCCTTCCCAAGTGGCTGTGGATCGGGTCCCCCCGTTCCCTCCGCAAGGGACATCACATCTCGCGGCGGGCGGATGAAGCAGATGGCAGCCAGGACCTTCCATCAGATGAAAAGGAAACAGAAAGCCAGGACTGGCGCGAGTTTCGAGCTCGATTGGTCCAGCAAGAGGCAAAAGAAACAGAAGAAGCCGGCAGTACTGGCATAAACAAGATCTCTCTAAAGAAGGCTGAAAAGTGGGCATATGAGTCGCCCATCATTGAACAAGGCTCCATACTTCTCTCATCGCCCAATGATCACTTTTGCATCAATCAGCAATATTTTCACAAGAATGTGATTTTTCTCGTTCAACATGGCTCCGGATACGAAGGCTTCACGAAAGGTGTGATACTGAACCGGCCAACAGCCTTCAGCACCACTGATTTGGAGTCAACGCTGAATTTGCAAAACTTTTCACACCAGGGTGTTGATGACTGGAATGTTTGGTGTGGAGGTGACTGTCAGGGAATCAACGATCGTCGTGGTCCAGCACCGGTCGAATACTCTGTGCTTCATGGCTTGGAACGCCTGGAAAAATACGGTGAGACCATCACTAAGGGTGTCTATTCTATCAACCTGGATGATGCAAAGGAATTGGTAGCCTCTGGCAGAGCAGACAAAGATGACTTCCTGCTTCTTGTTGGTTACTGCGGCTGGGCGGACGGGCAATTACAAAGCGAATTGGATCGTCAAGATACATGGACCATGGCATCCATTGATCCATCACTGCTTTTGGGTCAGCTCAGAGAGGAACAGGCAGCAGGGGCATCGGGGGCATCAGGGCATCGGCACAGGGACAGAACAAAAAGTTCTAGAATTACTTTTCTTCTTGTGTTTTCTTTAGACCTTTTGTTCTCTTTTGGAAAGAACATTAATATACCAACCCTGAGAGGCAGACTTGCGGAAAAGGATCGCAAAGGCAGGGCAGGACGACGTGTTCACTGCAGATGATGTCGGTGATGGACTGGAGATGTGGGAAAGGTTGTTTAGGGCCCTTGGCCCAAAGTACGAGAAGATTGTGGACAAGTTCAAGGCAGGTCTTCGAAACCACAAAGTACTCAGGTTTAACTCCGAACGGGTTTAGTCTTTCATGTTCTGCAGAGATTGCTGTTCACGTTCTTCTACGCCCAAAACATATCCCTAGCTGGATCCTCAGCTAAGGCATCATTTATATAAAGTGTCATATCGGGCTTGTTTGCTAGGTTATGTATCTCGCTTGTTTGGTTTTGAACTGTTGATTTCCAGGCATTTTGTTTCACCTTCTGTCTCGTTCTATCAGCTTGACTCGGCAACTTTTTGTTGTCTTTTTCGAAAGCCAGACGGGAGGCTGGGTTGGAGTTTTGTTCTGCGAACGCAGTGAGCAGGGGGGAACTTGACGGTAAATATGGCTGCCTTTGGACTTTCAGTCGTGGGGGCAGGTTGAAAATGCAAATTTGGGCAGGCTTGGGATGCTGAAGATGTTGTGCAGCATCCTGAGTAACAAAAGTTGAGGGTTGGTAGTGAGGACAAAAAACATGTTTTCCGATGCCATGGCGAAGGTTTCAGACTCCCATGATTCGCTTCTTCAAAGCAAAGCTGGATTCAGTAGATACCACTCATTCTAGCAGCAGCATGCAACTCATAGGCTATCATTGTGTTGTGGCACTCGAAAGGCTTCGGCGATGGATAGGTTTCCTCTCCATGCAAGCTCGGCCCTTCTGCTTCCTAGCTACTTCTGCTTCTTACTGACTTCGCCTCCCCAGATAAAACAGAAAACATACATTTCCTTGAAACATGTACTGTATTTCATTCGGCCTCGTTTCTCATGGGGTGCTTGGTCTCTGACTATTGTTTCTAATCCATATGCGCCTAAACTCGTTGATCAAGTTATACTTCCACCTCGTTTTCATATCAACTGACCTCTGATGGTTTGTCAAATGTTGTCCCACCTTTTTGAGCCTTACCTTGACAGGGCCTGAGCTTTGTTTCTCTTTACAGACTGCCAGGAAAGGCTGGCACAAATCCTTTATGGAGGTGTGTGCTGCTTTCTCCAACTCCAGGTAGCCTTCAGCTACTTCACCTTCCCTTGCATACTAAGCTATATAGCAGCTGCCACAGAATTCGTTCACCTCATCCACTTATTGGACACAATGTTTAGCTCCCACTGGAGGCACAAGTTTCAGCTAAAAGAGTGGTTTCAAGCAAAGTCTATTGTGAGCAACCTGTTCAGGAAAGCGGTGAGAACGAGCACTCAGATGATATGCTACGGAGGTGGATCAATCGATGTCTCATACCCAGAAGGTACAGCACAGAGCGTGCAGAACCTGAAGAAGTAGTTGAAAGAGCACTGAAGTCTCTCACAGGAGAAAAAGAAGAGGCCCCAGAAGGAACAGTTCTGAGGGGTTCCGCTTCTGCTTGGTTGTTAGGTAAGCCTTTTGAGGACGAAAGGTTTGACTTGAGGAGGTTTTGGCCTTCTCAGTATTTGCACAAGGCCGTGCTGCTGGTCATCAAAATCGAAAAGGAGAGAGATTCGCAGGGGCCCGCACTGTTGGCTGTGTTGAACGGCCCTCAAATAGGCGAATCTGAGGAGAAGAAGCCAGTGTACTGGGGTGGTCCACAAGGAAACAACTACATGTACAAGGTTTTGGAGGCGCCAGAAACGAGCTTTGAAGGCTCTTTTCAAGGACGAACGGGACAATCTCAATGTTGTCGAGCTTTCGCTGAATTGTTTGTATTCTTCGTTGATGTTTCGTTTGACGGGGCTGAAGAGTAACTGAAGAGCAGGGGATAAACTGTTAAAGGTTTTGAGCCTTGAGCATCTAAGTTTCAAGACGCATCGTTCACGCGAGAAGGATTTACGATTCTGCCCCCTGGAATGCTGGACATTTTGCTGGAAGCTCGCGCGCTTGAGCCTTCTCAAGCAACGGTCGCCGAGGCGGGGTCACAAACGTGGTGACTGAAAAAGAACTATATGTTGCGCAGTCTATCCCTAGCACCAAAAGAATGCTGATCTCTGAGTTGCTTGAATGATCGCAGAAGACTTTGCCAATTGTTCGTATGTTTTGATGTTGTGAACACTTTTGAATTCTACATTCTTTGCAGACCATCTCACACCCATTTAGCAATGTCAGTTGAATTTTCACTCGAGCCACATATCAATTAGGTCAAAAACAAGAGACCATTTTGGAGCTTGGGCCCCTTGACCCTTCCAGGTGCTTGCGGCAAGTGTGGAAGAACGTTGGACCGTGGCAGGTGGTACGCTGGACACGCTAGAAGAGCTGCGAACCTCACGCACCGGAGACAAGCAGCGCAGGAAGTGGTTCAAAAGAACCTTGCTTCGAAGAGTGCTTGTTTTCTTCTACAACAACGGATTTAAAGTTTGGAGTGACTATGCTAGGCTAAACCGCCTGTGTGTTTTCCTGTTGCGGAACAGAGAGCGTTCGCGACAACGGTCGCTCAGGATTCTTGGATCTAGTTCTTCCAGAGCCAGACGACGATTGATGGACATTGATCACCGATGAGTTTGACTGAGAAGCTATGAGAAGCTTATTGATGCTCATTGTACAGAATACCAGAAGCCGCTTTGGAAGCCTAGGAAAGCTTGTGCTCGGAGCGCAGTTTCAAGACACAGACAAAATGCCTCGTGGCTGCTCTGTGCATTCCCAACAGGCGTCCCTGGCAATGTTTAGAGACGTGAAATTCGATTGTGGCACAGAAGCCACACCTTTCACACGCACAGAAGATCTTAACTTTAGGACATCGAGTTAAAGGCATATGCCAAAGACAAAAGAACTTTGTAGGAAATCGATGGATTTCGGTAGTGCCAAGAGAAACAAGCGACAGATGTCGTGCTAAACCCATGTTGCAGACAGCTGATAAAGATCAGCTTTGTTACTGTAGCTTCTTGTTCCTAGTAGTGATGCCAGGAACTACTAGTAGCTTCTGCTCCTAGTAGCGATGCCCTTTGTTACTAGTAGCGATGCCCTTGCTACTAGCTTCAGGTCAGCCGAATGCAACTTGGGGATTCGCTTCTCAGTGGCCTGGCTGGATGATTCAGATTCTGCAAAAAGCTTGTTCATTCTTGGGTTTGTTTGGACTTGTCAAAGCTTTTCCATTCAAGTGTCCCTGTCTGAACTTTGGGTGTTTAACAACAACCCCCAAAAGAGATCAAATCAAGAATTGCCCTTGGCCGAACCTCATTTCAAATTGACAACGAACTCAGAACAGAGAGAGTGAGTGAGTGAGTGAGTGAGTGAGTGAGTGATAGAGACAGCGAGATCTCAACAGCTGATTCTAGGCCTGCATGGCCTCACGGATACGGATACCAAGGCCACGTTTGTTCAAAGCAGTCCTTGCTGACACAGCAATTTGCTTCTGCTGTAACTTGTTTCTACTGTAAATCTTATCATGATTTCCGAACATACCATACCATTGCCAAAGGATGTCAGGAGTGCTGCCCAACAGAGTGCATTCTGCATTCTTTCCGTGCATTGCCCAAGAGCATCAGTAATGCACAATTTGTCGGTTGATGCACAAGGTGTTCCAGCAATGACGATGCAGGTGGGAAGTCCCATTCACAGCATACGTTCTCTTCATCCTTTGCGCTTGAAAGGATCAACTTTCACCATGATTCTTGCTGTCATAGTTGAAAAGACACCAAAACGTTGCACAACGGAGAACCAGACTCCCAACAATCAACAATTTTCCCCTGACTATTATTTGTGAGATCTCCCGCAATCACCCCAGCTGTTGTTGTTGTTGTTGTTACTTCTACTGCTGCTGTGCTTTTGAAATAGATTTAAATAGCATGTTGCTGCATCAATTCATTGAGTGTATGGCGAGGCATACTGCCCCGTGCCTGCCAGGTCCCAGCCTTAAGGGATGGGAAGCTCGAGAATGAAACCAGACCAATCTACATCACTGGCAATGCATGTGGTAGAGTGTTCCTTTATCTTCAAAGAAATCGACCAGACAGATGCAAACTGTAAATCGTTCAGGCCTCCTATGCAAGCCATGCCAGTTGGCTTTGTGGGTGCCTGCTGTGGGCTCAGGCTTTGTTGTAATTACATTGATGTGGAACTAAACCTGATCATGGGATAGTGTATCAAGAGGCTTTTACGACATTGGTCCCCACCACCGCAAGATGTAAGACAAATGACGCGGAGGAGGAGGAGGAGGAGGAGGAGGGGAGGAGGAGGAGGAGGCCAGGAGGAGGAGGCCAGGAGGAGGAGGCCAGAAGGAGAAGGAGAAGGAGAAGAGAACGAGGAAGAGAAAGTGGAGGATGCAGCATAAAATGAGCGGGAGCCGCTGTTGCAGTGCTAATGGCAGAGCAACAAGAGCACATTGACTGGGACTACAGGTGAGGAGAGGGCAGAGAGAGTGTGAAAGCACTTGGATGTATCAACAGCAGAGTAGTTGAGGCTTTGTTTTTGGACCGCCTCCCATAGCGGCCCCGTCCTGGTTCCCGCGCTAAAGGAACGATCTGGAACCCTTCAACCTGGAAACTTGGCATCAGTCAACACTTGGAGTGGAAAGCAGTGAACGATTGTAGGAACAAAGTTCCAAGATGAAAAGTTAGGCCTGGGTCATAGGGTCATACAGTTCCAACATCCATTGGAATATCAAGATAACCAGTTACTGCAGCAAAACATGCACACAAACAAAGTTCTTGTAGAACCTCAAAAAACAATTCGACAGCGGCGTCTGAGATTTAGGAACTTCCAAAGGGATGTGAAGGTAGAGGCCATAATATATATTGCAGGGAAGGCCAGGATGGCCGAAGTAACAATAAGTGGCGGGTAACTTCCAGGGTGGTTTGGGAGGGTTCAGAATTTGATCGGGTACCATTTTGGCTCAAGTACCATTTTGGCTCAAGGCCATCTTGGGACCCGGGACCCCCCATCGAAGATAGGTGGGGGGTGAGTTTCGGGCCATGGACGGACTCCTTCCCGACCGGGCCACGTTGGACGCGTGGACGGACCTGAAGGACGCGGCGACGTGGGGTGGTCTGGAGGCGGGACTGGTGAGGACAGTCACCAGGCAGCTCGGAGATCCAGAACTGTCGGCCTTACCAGTTCTGGCAGTGATTCCCCTCGAGGTTTTCGAGACAGCGCTAAGCAATGCAAGCAGAGGGGATCGACGGCTGTTTGAGACAGAGAAGGCTCAATGGCGTTTGGTGTTGAGCGCAATCAGGGTTAAGTTTGGTGCACCATCATTGTTTGCAGCTTCAGTTGCCCACAAACCGGAGACACCCGCTAGCGGAGGAGTTGCTACCGGGTTCAGGTGGGACGAAGCTCCAGTTGAAGATGAGCCAGATCATTGATCAGGGTGTGGACTTCGAAGTTGAGATGTTGACGAACACCCAGCTCCAGAAGATGAGGGCACAGTTTGTGGTTACAGAAGGTGACAACCCATTGGAGAAGGAGGAGGTGACTGATGGGCAGTTGAGTTGTTTGTACCACAAGCTGCAACCTGGCCAGCCTTCGTAGATATGGGAGTCTGGGGGCCACACGGAGATCGGATTGCCAGGGCCATGCGGTTCATCTCACAGCAATGGCGAGATGGGCAGTGGAAGGCGGTGGAACTGCCTGGGGCCGCTAACCTGGACGCTTGGGAAGAATCATGGAGGGTCTTCCGCACCGTGGCTCTCATGTTACAGTTGGCCACAGCTGCATCTCTCGACAGGTACGCCTCCGAGTTCAGGACGCGTGTGCTTCAGCGTCCGGATGTATGGCACTTGGCGGCGCAAGCTGACATTAGATGCAGGACCGAGTTTTGGTCGCAGGAGAAGAGGAAACAGGAAGCTTTCCACTCCACCCATCCAGCATTGTCGGCTTATGTTCCTGAGCAGCCTTGGAACTCAGTGATCCGTGCCAGTGCCTCACAATCAGAGTTTTGGTCGAGGGAGTTTGAGAAGCCAGCAATGTTATACGTGATGAACTCGGCCAAGTCGGTGCCAGCAAGGCCTCCAGGCCCAAGCTCTTCAGATGATCAGAGTTGGATGAAACCTCAACCCAAGAAGAAAGTGAACAATGCTTGGCCCCTATCCATTCAGCTTCTGTCCCTACTCAGCAAGCGAGTCCTCCTTGTCTCCTTCCTGCCAGTGGTCATCCGCCTCCACCTTGGGGAAAACTCCCCCTTCCGGGATGTCATTGACGATTCCCAGTGGCGTGCCCTTCTCGGGCCAACTCCCAGCCTCACTATGTGGGCCGCCGCTCAAGTGCACCAGCCTTTCCAGCAATGCTCCCCAGAGCCCACGCTCAGGGTTTGCGCAACCGTAAACACTGCCCACTCTAGCTCTGAGTCACGCCAACTCGTGTTCCGGCAGTTCGCCCCGCTCACTGCCTATCCACCTTGTAGGATTGCTGAGCTCTGTCAACTGCCCAATGCACGATTGTAGAACTCTCCAACCAATGTAACCAACTGGAAAGCGGGCGGATGGTTTTCTATGGAGAATCCAGAGAACTCCTACATCTGGATGTACGGACCAGTGAAACGACTACTGCAGCTGCAGGGCGTGAGACTCAACAAGGGCGACCAATGTGTCTACATGGGAGAGTATGTCAAACCAACAGGTTGGCTCAGCCATGCAAGCTTCATGAAAGTGTTGGAACGGAGGTGTCCGGGAGACCTGCACATCACCACGAACCCCTGGCTGGCTTCGCCCTAAACTTTCATGGCAACAAGGTCTTCAAGACTGCGCTGGCTGCCGAGTACCCTCAGGGCTTGTGCATAGAGCTGGCCAAGGCGTATGCCAAGGCGCTGGAGGAGTCGAAGCAACGACCAGACAGTTGGAAGCTTGTGTTCAAAGAGGATGCCAAAGTGATGGACCTCTTCTCAAAGAAGGCACAGGTTGAGCAGGAAAACGAGTTGTGCATTGGGGGGTCCACTGCAGCAAGGACAACTGCGCCGCTCTTGAAGCCAGAAGATTGGCCTCCTTTACCCCTCCAGGATTTGGGTTCAAGTCCTGCAGGTTGCTGTACGGATCTGAGCTGTCTGGCCTTTGCAAACTTGTCTCTCCTTCTTGCCCGTGAAAATGTCTTGCAAGGAGGAGCTGTACGCAACCATCGAACCTTCTTCTTCTTGATGGCCGACTTGAGTTGCTTGAACGTTGAATTACACAAAAGGTCTGTTTACGTCAAGGTCATGGTGACCACTGCAAAGCTGGAGGAGTGGAGAGTACTCCTCGAGAGGCTGAACACTCAGCCTCTAGTGGGGCGAAAGCCACTGCAGCAGTTCACTGGCAAAATGTCTTGGGCGGCGGGATTCATTCCGCAGCTCAAGCCCTTCGTTCGAATGTTGTATGCCGCTTTGGCTACCAACCCCAGCAAGTTACAGGGTCAAGGGCAAATCTACTTCAAGCAGATCGAACCTGCTCTTCACTGGATCAGGCGTTTCTTGTGGAGCTGGGGGCCTGAAGGCTTGGAACGAACAGTGTTTGCTTACATCGACATCAATGTAGACTTGACTTCTTGCTGGACGCTTCACCTTGGGGCGGCGGTGCTGTGAGGTTGAAAGCTGGTCGACCTGTTGAAGTGTTTGCATTGACTTGGGAGTCCGCAGACGAACAAAAGACAGGGGCCACCATAGGTGAACCTGGGTCGCAGGCTTTGTGGGAGGCCTACATGATGTTGAGACGCCTTTGGGCCCGGGTGACGACGAATGGCCAGGGCTACATCAGAGTCCGTGGAGACGCGCAAGGTGTCCTGGCTGCGCTGGTGAAGCGAGCAGCCAAGTCGCCGCTGCTCAACGAAGTGACAAAAGAGGCGGCGCTTCACTTAGCTGTCCACTTCGCTTCGATCGAAGCGCTGCACCTGTGGAGCGAGCAGAATGAATGGGCTGATGCTCTTTCCGGGGCCAGACGCCTGGAGAACTTTCCCACCTGCCAAGGGTGGAGCCCCAGTGTGGCCGACCGAGAAGGGAGACCGGGTTGAAGGGTGAAACCATGCAGCCGAGGTTCATCGCTCGTATCATGTGATCAGCGTGTGAAATTGTCGCCCGTGCGCGAGGCTATCACCCAGCCGAGACAGGCAGTGCGAGTGCGCCAGGGAGATACCTGGGAGGGGGAGCGTCGCGTTGCGTTCGATTGCTTTGTTTTGAGATTTGCAAGTGTGAGTGACTGTCAGTGCTGTTTCTTTGCTTTGACTTGTTCGTCCGACATCGTTCGATTTCAGGCATGTATTCTTTTGCTAGCCATTTATACATGAAAAGGCTCACACCAGTCATTCCTCGGGAGGCCGCCGAGGCCAAGTGGCCGGGCCTGCAATTGCAGCCCATGAGCTCAGGAGACCGAGACAGGTCGGAGCGGGGCGCCGCATTGAGCCGAAGCCTTGTGAACCATGTCACCTGCATCACCGGGCAGCAGGTGGAGGTCAGGGCAGCTATGAGTTGTCAGATGCCCATATCACTCGGGATGTTATGGGGATCATCGTTGTCCCGTACCCTCCCACCCGTGGACACGGGTAGGGAGTCAGATGCTTCTCGGCAGGTGGTGCATCAAGAGGTGCAGGAAGAGTCGGAAGGCTCGGCAGATGAGGCCGTCGTGAGGAACCCCCTGGCAAGCTGCCAAAACTATACAGTGAAGACAACGTGCAAGCCCTCATGAGAGGGGGTCTCCCTCTGTTCGTGCCCAAGGACATCAACGAGCAGAAGAAAGAGGAGGACAAGCCATCGATGGAGGAAGTGGTGGATCGACGCCAGCGATGCCTGCTCCAGGCACACCCTTCAGGAAGACTGAACCGGCAGTAAAGCCCTATGCCGCAGGCAACAGGGCCAAAGCCCAAGAAGTCGCAGAGGGCCCCGACAATTTCCAGAATGACAAGTTTGCGGCTTCAAATCAGGCCACGCGTAAAGCTAGGGTGCAATGGTGGCTTCACAGGGCCAAGAGCTTGGACGTGGAACCCTTTCCGTTGGCGGTTCAAACCATTGACATGGCAGGTGCTGAGCTCAGCAGCTATGTACTTTGCAGCCCTGAAAAGGGAACATGTGCTACAGGCTTCGGCCATCAAAGACGCGATCCGGTCGTGTATCTGGGGCATCGGGGCCGACAAGCAATGCCCTGCCTTGGACTTGAGGCAGTTGGAAGGCATGAAGGAGGTGGAGCCCGTGGATGATGGACCACGAAGAACGGTCGACACGGTGATCCTCTTCACCCTCTTTGCGCGCAGGGAAATGGAGGCCGCCTTGAGAAAGTTGAAGCGTGTGCAGGTGGAAGAAACCGGTGTGGGATGCGGAGTAGTGTCCTTGTACCTGCCTGCCTCAAAGACAGACTCCAAGGGTGAAGGGGTTCTCAGGAAACAGGGATGCCTTTGTGAGACCATGCCCAGCCTTTGCCCTGTCGCCGCAGCGAAGAGATTGATGCAGGCCGCAGTAGAGAACGGCCACCAAGATGACGATCCCTTGCTGGTCACCGACAAACCTACCAAGCAGGGCATGGTGAAGGCCTTTCGCAGGGTGGCAGTCAGTGTTGCTGGGGCTCACGGAGGAGGAGGCGCAGAATGTCACGGGGCACATGCTCCGACCGATGGGTGCGCAGTTCATGGCGCGCAAGGGCGTCGACAAGATCCAGCTCTTCTGCAGGTGGGGGAGTGATGCCATTTTGAGGTACTTGCGCGAGGTCCCTCTGGAAAACGCAGATCGGTGGTTAGCCACGTCAATGTCGGTGGGAGAGCTCATGACTCACTCTGCCAAGGCCTTAGAGATGCCAGCTGATCACCCCAAGTCGAGGAAAATGGTGAGGGCAATCGAAAACGCTCTTCAGACTCAGAGCACTCAGATCCTGCAGAGCGCCAAACAGACACAAGAAGAGATCGAGCAAATCCTTGAGGACCTGCGAACAAAGTCCCTGTCGATGAACGAGAAATGGACTGAGGAGCTGTCTAGGAAATTTCTTCCCAGGTTTTTGTTGAGTTCCAACAGTATGACCTTTCATGCTGTGAAAGATGCCTTTTCCACAGGATGTGGATTTGAATACAGGAACTCCAAAGACTTTAAGTTTGCCCACGAACCGCCGAATCCGGATACCGCCAGCCATCACATGTGTGAGAAAGCAGGCTGTGTGAAGCTGTTCGAGACGGCAGCTAAAGCACTCTAAAAGCTGGAGAGGAGAGAAAAGTAATGGCTCGTCTGGTTGTAGTGGGGGGTGAGGGGAGTGCAGAACTCCACACCCAGTCCGAGAGCATTCGGCCGATGGTGCGAGGTACGAGCAAGATCCCACAGAGGGGCTCATGCACCTCGACATCTGTTCGAGACCTTTGCTGAGAAGGCAGGTCAATTCTGGCAACCATTCGAGAAAACAGGGTGAGGCGGGTTCTGGGTGTTTTCTCTTTAGTGATGAACCACGCTTGTTTGGTTTGTACTTGAGAAAAGCAGTACCTTTAAGAGGACAGCGTGAAGACGGCCAAACAAGTAGAGTATATACACTTTTTCGACGGTCCTGCACCTTGTGGGAAGGATGCCTGACGATTCTTCTAGCACATGACAGCAACCAAGGGGTTCAGTAGCGACAGCGTAACGATACAGGCACCAACATCCGCTGCGGCTGACTCGTTTGTTAAGACTAGCGCATCCACGTTAGCCTTGGCATCATTCTGGAAGACTGGCATGCTGAAGTTTTCGTTCAAGGCTCAGATTTCTGAATAGTGCCCAGAAAGCCTGACTTTCATTGTCAAAACCAACAACCACTGGTCGCAAATTTCAACACAACGCTGGACAACATGATCTTCCACCATACAGCTGAGTTTTCTGATGGAACATCTCCGCCCGACCATTAATTTGATTGCTGCACTGGGTTGCGTGCCCGGGTTGAATGCCGATAAAGTCACCCAGAAACTGAGCAGCTCTCTTTGAAACCCAGGAGGGCACTAACTTTGCGGCTCCTCATGTTACCCTTAGGCCAAGGCGGCTGCTTTCCCCAGCAGGCAAAGAGTGCAGAAATTGACTGAAGGGATCATCCAAGTATCATGAAGGCACATGCATAACAGGTAGATGGGACGACCAAAGGGCGAGTCAGCCCAACTTGATACTTGTTTATGGATGTTTTGGCACGCATTTGTCATTTGTTTTTGTTCCTGTGGTTGAAGGAGATCAACCAACAGGGATCCTGTGGATATAGCAGGCCATAAGTATTTATACTCACCAGCAATCATGTTCTAGAAATACTTTGGACTTTACGAGTGGTGGTGGGGTCCGACATTGATATTATACTTTGGCGACCCAAAATACTTTGAGATTATTCCAAATTGATTTTGAGTCCAATACTTTGGAATGTTGAACTCCTACTCTCAAGATTTTTATAGTTCTTGCCTGTGCCTGGAGTTCAGAAGATTGCACCAATCCATTGCATTTCCGAGAAAAATTCGATAGGCCCCTACCCTCAGCAGTCATCCAGCTAACCGGCTGGAAATTACTATGTGGGTGGGGGACTCTGCAGAGCCCCCTCGATGGTAGCTTGGAAGATTTTGAGGTGCATCGAGCTGACCCTGAAAATTACTTTGGGATCCAGTGCCAACCAACTTGTGCGCAGCTCTTGTTATGAACTGCCCACTAGATCCCCGAAACACTTCGAGTGCAACCACCTATATAGAGCAAGACCTTAATTTTTTGGTAGGTGGAGGGTGGTACCTCAGTATGGTAATATATATATATATATATGTTATATAGTTTTCGAAATTGACATTCAATGCCAGCGCGCATGCCTCAGATGGCACCGATGCCGGCGCAGCCCATGGCGCAGGCATCATGGCACCTGGACTTGCCTGTTAATCGGACGTTGAGTCAGCCTTTAGATCACGTTTGGATGAAATGAAGAGTGAACATTTATTAGGCGTCGTAAACTTGTTTATATATGCATTGTAACTTGAACCCTTCTTCAGACCCTCCTTCAAACCCTCCCTCAGAATGTGCAGTCCCTTGTGTGGCTGCCAGATGAGCTGCCCTTCAGATGTGCAATACTGCATACCCTCGACAAGGTACGTTGGCCATTCTTGCACAAACTGACACGTGTTCAAACAGATGACCTATCAGATCGCACAGGGTATTTTACTAGGTTGGAGGCCATCGCTCTTAGGTTGGAGGCCATCACCCTTAGGTTGGAAGCCATCGCTACTAGGGTGGAGGCCATCGCTCTTAGGTTGGAGGCCATCACCCTTAGGTTGGAAGCCATCGCTACTAGGGTGGAGGCCATCGCTCTTAGGTTGGAGGCCATCACCCTTAGGTTGCGAACCATCACCCTTATTTTGGAAGCCATAAGGCCATCGCTACTCTTATTTTGGAGGCCGTCACTCTTAGGTTGGAGGCCATCACCCTTAGGTTGGAAGCCATCACCCTTAGGTTGGAAGCCATCGCTACTAGGGTGGATGCCATCGCTACTCTTAGGTTGGAGGCCATCGCTCTTAGGTTGGAGGCCATCACCCTTAGGCTGGAAGCCATCGCTACTAGGGTGGAGGCCATCGCTACTCTTGGGTTGGAGGCCATCGCTACTCTTAGGTTGGAGGCCATCACCCTTAGGTTGGAAGCCATCGCTGCTAGGTGGAGGCCATCGCTACTCTTAGGTTGGAGGCCATCACTCTTAGGTTGGAGGCCATCGCTCTTAGGTTGGAAGCAATCGCTACTCTTGGGTTGGAGGCCATCGCTCTTAGATTGGAGGCCATCACCCTTAGGTTGGAAGCCATCGCTGCTAGGTGGAGGCCATCGCTACTCTTAGGTTGGAGGCCATCGCTCTTAGGTTGGAGGCCATCGCTCTTAGGTTGGAAGCCATCGCTACTCTTAGGTTGGAGGCCATCGCTCTTACGTTGGAGGCCATCACCCTTAGGTTGGAAGCCATCGCTACTAGGGTGGAGGCCATCGCTACTTTTAGGTATCGCTACTAGGGTGGAGGCCATCGCTCTTAGGTTGGATGCCATCGCTCTTAGGTTGGAGGCCATCACCCTTAGGTTGGAAGCCATCGCTACTAGGGTGGAGGCCATCGCTACTCTTAGGTTGGAGGCCATCGCTCTTAGGTTGGAGGCCATCGCCCTTAGGTTGGAAGACATCGCTACTAGGGTGGAGGCTATCGCTACTCTTAGGTTGGAGGCCATGCCATCGCTACTAGATTGGAGGCCATCGCTACTAGGTTGGAGGCCATCGCTACTAGGTTGGACGCCATCCGAGGCCATCACTACTAGGGTGGAGGCCATCGGGGCCATCGGTCTTAGGTTGGAGGCCATCGCTACTAGTGTGAAGGCCATCGCTCTTAGGTTTGAGGCCATCGCTGCTAGTGTGAAGGCCATCGCTACTAGGGTTGGCTTCCATCGCTCTTAGGTTGGAGGCCATGGCTACTAGGGTGGAGGCCATCGCTACTAGGTTGGAGGCCATCGCTCTTAGGTTGCAGGCCATCGCTCTTAGGTTGGAGGCCATCGCTATTAGGGTGGAGGCCATCGCCACCAGGGCGGAGGCCATCGCTACTATGGTGGAGGCCATTGCTTTTAGGTTGGAAGCCATCGCTACTAGGGTGGTGGCCATCGCTGCTAGGGTGGAGGCCATCGCTCTTAGGTTGGAGGCCATCGCTCTTTGGGTTGGAGGCAAACATATCGACATTTGCATGGAGTGCACTGTCGCAAGGGTTCGGCCGGTATGCCTTTAGCTTTAGGCAGGCAAAAGTGCAAGATGCTTCTGTACAATTGGATGGATGTGTTTTTTTTTGGTTTTACAAATTTATAAATGTTTTTTTTATTTGTTTTTGTTCAGTTTTCAGAGACACTCTTCTTTTCTGCATGTTTCCTTCTCTACTTGTTTGCTTTTTTCCTTTGTTTTTTTCACTGTTTTAACTGTCTGTTTTGCCCTTTGCTTCTCTGCGTTTTTGAATTCCTGCCAGTCTTTTTCTTTTTTTGATGGCAAGACGACTTGCCGGGTCAGTTCTTGTTTGGTTTGCTTCTTTTGTTTTCGTTGAGGGGCTGCAAGTGCCCTCCCGCAGCCCCTTCAACCTGATACAAAGCTAAGGCTGGAACCAAACAATCAAGAAGCAAGGAAACAAGAACACAAGGAAGGAAGACAGGAAAGACTGGAAAGACGGAAGGTAAAGCAACTTGCTGGATCAGTTCTTGGTTGATTTGCTTTTTGGTGGGAGGGCATCGCCCCTCCCCCGACACCCTCCAGCTTTCACAGCGTCGAGCCAACCAAGGCCAATCGCAAGCAACCAAGCATTCAACCCAGACGAAATTTCAACACTGGCAGCCCAAACTGCTGTACACATACATAGCAGCAGAAGTTGACAATGGGATGTCCAAAGTGCTGTAGCTACCAGTGAAGAGATGAACACGTGGAGCCCCAGATGCTGCAACTGGCAGCCGAAGTTGAACATTACTAAATCATTACTTCCAAAGTGTGGTACAGTAAATTCCAACGAAAAGGGTGAGAAAGATGAATTAATTCCCGAACTATATCCGCACGATTTCTAACTCAACTGTCATTGGATTACGGTTACCGCATGCAGCTGTGATGGATGTGAAATTCCTGCGGGGAGGCCTCATGCATAGCTTGCTCAAGCACGCTGTCTGAAGTCTTTGTCACGGCACAAGACCCGAAGAGCTCCTTGGAGCTCCTTCAACTGTGGCTGGAGAGGGAAAAGTGGTGTTGACGCATACACAGGCGGAGCATTCTGACTTTTTCAATGATGCATCAGGTGGTATAGGTAGCCCGTGCACTGCACCAAATGACAGCAATTCTGTACAAACCTGGTAACTCTAGCACTGGCTGGCACCAAAAAGTTCCGAAGCTTTTCTTCGGAGGCTCAAGGACTCCAAAGTAGGAGCCCAGTTTTGTGTGTTGGGCTCTCAGCAAAATGCAAGCCAAACCAATTCTTTTGCAAATCTCTGGTTTGTTTTGCTTATCCTTCTGAAAAAACATCGGCAGTTTGAATATTACACCGTATATTTTTTTCCGTGGAATGACAATGAGGCACCACTAAGATGCTCTCCACACTCAGACAAGCTGCAGCCCGCTCCCTGCATTGATTGTCGCTTCGTTCAAGTGGCTTCAAACTAAATGTGGCTCCACAGACTCGTCCAAGACTTGGAAAATCAAGGACGCTACTAGTAGCTCCTGTCTTCGCTACTAGGAGCAAGGACGCTACTTGAAAAACCAGCTTAGCGCATTATGCGCTCTAGGTAACCTGCCCACACATGTCCAGCCAGGCTCGCCCACTTGGCATCAGATGTTTTGCAGCCGCCAAGGACAGCTTTCCATGCTCGGGTGTTAGGGGTATTCTATGTGCTGCATGGTGCGGCGTGATACTCGTAGTGCTTCCAAACATCGCAACAAACTGCTCCGAACAGCGGGTAGTCCAACTAGTGAGGAAGGACCATCGCACAAAACATCACACTTCAGATCCAGCAACACTTTATTGCTTCTTGTGGCATGTTTTTCTTCTATTGCGCCTGTAAGTTCTGCAAGAACAGATTGTGAGCATAGAGAGAATGTATTTGCCAAGAGTGGGAATCTCATGTGGGTCCAATGGAAGAGTTTGTCCTTTGAGTTGCATGGCTTTCAGGATATCCGCCATGGCAGCGAAGCCAGGGCACTTATGCTTGAAGGCTAGATGAAGCTTTGCAAATCCACTTGTCTTGGGTCTAAAACTGTTGCAGGTTGCAATCGTTTGGCAGATGCAGTCGCAGTGACTATGGGGCCGAAGGCATCCGATTTGTAAAGATCGGTGAAGTCCAACCTAATAGCGATGGCCTTCAACCTAATAGCAATGTTGACAGCTGAGTTGAAAGTTCTCACATTGTCAATATCATGATGAGCAGATTGGCAGGGTCGAAACGTGGTCATCGAGCAGTCATTCGGAGCACCGAAGGCACCTTGCAATTTGGGCTTTGTGTAATCCAAACTTGTACAACAAGTGCGTAAAATTCACAAAAGGCAAAACTTGACCTGTGGCAGATGAGATGTCATGCACCGAGGTGACGAAGGATGGAGTAACAGTTGCAAAGTCCATTGATTTAAAGTGAGCTGCTTAATATTGCAAGTCCAAGTCGATTTGTTTGTGTTGGTCCGATTTCAATTTTGAAAGCGCAATGTAACAATGATCATGAGATATGCGCTTTTTGTCCCAGGTCTGCTCCGATGGTCAACGTGGGTGCTCAATTGGTGAAGACAGCGTGGGCCCATGAGGAGGCTTTCGCTCCCTTTGGTCCTTTGCCTTTTGAGGAGCTTTTTGATTCTTCCAGCCCACCTAAGGTTGCAAGCAAAACCAATGATGTTGCTGGTGATGGCACGACGACCGCCACAGTGCTGGCTCGTGCAAATCTTATCGTGGCAGAATTCAAACGAAGTTCTTTATTGATTCTGTTGTTTTGCAGCTTTCAAAATTTCTCTTTGAACAGTCGTTTGCTGGGGGAGGGATCAAACAAATAAATATAAATAGCATCAGCTAAACTACTCGTGAGTGGTTTGCAACCACACACACATATATGTATATATAGTCGTGGCAGGCGCAGTGCCTTGGCAAATGGCAAAAGTAGTGCGGCAGTGCATTGGCAAGGGTAGTGCAGATTTCGTGGCGGAGAGGGCACAGCGCCTTACTACTTGTAACAAGAAGCTACAGTAGCTCCTGGCATCGCTACTAGGAGCAAGGACGCTACTAGTAGCTCCTGGCCTTACTACCAGGGACAAGAACGCTACTAGGAGGAAGGGCATCGCTACTAGTAACAAAGGGCCTTACTACTAGCAGCATTCTTGCTACTAGGAACAAAAGCCACCAAGACGCAGAAGGACCAGGGGACCAGGAGACTAAAGGACCAGCAAACCACCGGACTAGGGGGCATGTTATTTTTTGTTTGATCAGGTTATTGCTTTTTGATTCTGTTCTCTTTAAACGCAATGTTCTTATTTGTTGGCTTTGCCTGCTATTTCAGGTGCAATTTTTAGAGAAGGCTGCAAGGCTCGTTTTTTGGGTAGGAGTCCGGAGAAGCAGCAGTTCATCTCGTGTAAGACTCATCATGTTGCATACTTGGCTGGAACAAAATCTATATAACCCTCCAAAACCATGACAAGGGTTTTAGGCTCCAGCCTACCCGTGGCGACTAGATTAATAGAATAGAATAAAATAAGTATTTTAGGCGTATCAAATATAATCATATGTTTCAGTAGTATCACGTGTGAACGCCATGCGGTACGCGGTCTTACCTGAATCCATGGCAGGTTGGCCTCCCTGGTAGACTTGTTCATTTTCCACCAAGTCCCAGGGCCATGTCAGACACTTCTGACAAGATGTCAATGCCTCAACAACCTTTTTCTTGAACTTGAGCCTGCAGCAGGCTGTAGCTGCTGGGATGAATCCGCTTTTCAGCAGCAGTTAAGACTGATGTGTCACATCCTGGTTCGAAGCAAATGCGGTTGATGCTATGTCGAGTGGGCCTGCTTGTATCATGGCAGTGACCTCCAAAAGCTGCAGGATGGACATCAAGCGTGGTATGGACCATGCTGCAAAGATAGTGCTAGAGGACACTGAGTTGATTCCGTTGCTTGCTTTATCCGAGTGCCTGGAAGGTTTGCTTTCCTCTGCAGGACCTTGCTAGCCAAGCCACTCACATTGAAACTCCGGACAAGATTCGGAGTGTGATGCTCTCGGCCGCTTCCGACAGCTCGGCAATGCTTGCTTTCAGCAATCCGAGGTCGCAACCATTGCTGCGAATGGGGATGAGCAGATTGGCAAGATGATTACAGAGGCGTTTGAAAAGGCCACCCTTGCAGTTTTGGAAGAGCACTTGCCTATCAAGAACAGAAGTATATAATATAGTATATAGATATAGTGTTCTTGGCTTTGCACATAGGTTGGGAAGGATGGCACCATCACAGTGCCAAGGGCCAAGCGACTGGAAACGTCGTGAATCAAGAGAGAACACATTGTAGTTTGTTCAGTTTTTCGATGCCATTTCGCAGGCCCCTTCAATCGGCCTAAAGACATTGTATCAACCAAGAACGCCAAAATGTAAGAGTTCCAAGATGTTCCAAGTCCAAATCAAATGCGAGCTACTAGTAACAGGTGCATCACTATTAGTAACAAGTGCATCGCTACTAGTAGCTAGAAGCTACTAGTAACAAGTAGTACCAAATGCGATAAGCTCGCAGGTCGGACGGGAAAACCATGGACCACGAACTGGAGGCATACTGATCCCACCCCTTGTGCGAATTCACTTGAAAGATACAAAAGAACTCCCATTGGCAACAGCCAATTTCGACTGTTGCCAGAATACCTGTGGAGTTGAAATGGTCAGGTCGTCGAGGGTATGCAGCTTGATCGAGGGTGACTTGGACCCGATGATTCTCGAACCTCAATTTACGAGGATACAATGTGCAATCTTACCTTCCAAGCACACATCATGCTACGCTTGAGGTACATCTCTCCGTACTTCATCACCAACGTGAAGGCCAGCTGAGGGATGTTGATGGGGACAGTCAACTGGAGATAACTGGCAGCTTTAGAGACACAGCACTGTGAGACCTGATTTCCTCATGCTAACAGACACAGATGACAAGCCAACAAGAATGGCCTTTCACAAGCTCATATGCCCATAGTTCTTGACTCTCTTCCCTGATGCGTATTTTTGCGACCCAGGCGCAGAAAGCTGAGATGGAGGCTAGGCAGACACATGCAATGGTTTCCATCCTGTTTCAAGTGCGTGCTGCCCAAGCATCAACTTACCGTCAGACATTTGATTACGGCTTTCTTGTTTTTGGTCTTCAGCGTTTCCGTTCACGACCTTCCATAGTCTTTGACATGCACAGAATCCACTCGTGCTCATTTTTGACAAGAAGATCTCCTCTGTCCAGGCTGGGACTCGTAGCTAAGGTATGTCGCTGGTTCCAGGCTCATTCGGATGGTGTTTTAATTTTTTTTGCCAGGCAATTCTCCCTCTCTTGGAGCAGGCCCAACCAAGGGCAAGTTGCCGAGGCATTGTATTTTCATAATCAGATGTCACAGCACAAAGCCCACAGGGCGTTTTTAGCGACTGAGTGATTGGATTAGTTCCACAACTCTAAGAATCCGAAGGAACATGAAAATCTGAAGGAATTAGTTCAACTAACTTACTCTTAGGAACAAGAAGCTACTAGTAACAAAGGGCATCGCTACTAGGTTACTAGGAGCAAGTGGTTCAACCACTAGATTTCAAGTATTTTAACCTTTTAAAGCCCGAGGTGGCCCCCTGCCTCCTTACTTAATCAAGCAAGGGGGTAGTTCACTACTAGCTACTAGTAAGCGACTACCTACTGGACGCAGGATAGCTCACGCTTCCTTGATGAAGCGCTGGAAAACTTGCATCATTAATCATTGGTAAATGCCAGGTAGCCAAAGTGCAAAAGCCTTTGCTGCTCATTGCAGAAGATGTGGATGGTGAGGCGATGATATTCAGCATTCCCCAGAACATATCTTAGCACGGAAAACAACATTTTTTCTAGTTTATTTACCAGGCTACCGCCTGCAGCCGCCGACCCCCAAGGGATAGAACCTTAGCGCTAGCCTTGCTCTAGCCAGAGAGGTGGGGTGAGGCGTGAGATGTTAGCCTTAAGCCTAGCCTTAGCCATAGACTTAGCCTTAGCCATAGACTTAGCCTTAGCCTTAGACTTAGACTTAGACCTTACCTTTTTACCTTTCCGGACCCGGGGTTTGTTCGTAGGATTTCCCAGGTATGCGTAGAAAATTGCGAACCTATTTTCTTCCATTGTTGTAGAATTTTCTAGGACTTCCTCTTGTGCTTAGGTTCCCAGATGTCCCCAAAAATTGATTAATCTACTGTTAACCCCCAAGGGATAGAACCTTAGCGCTAGCCTTGCTCCAGGCAGAGAGGTGGGGTGAGGCGTGACTGTCGATGTTAGCCTTAACCTTAGCCTAGCCTTAGCGTTAGACTTAGCCTTAGCCTTAGACCGCCCCCGGGTAGGAGTTCGCCATTTTTTCCATGGTTGTAGAATTATCTAGCATGTCCGCTTGCATGTAGGTTCCCTGATTTGCTCAAAAATTGATGAACTTATTTTTAATCCCGGCCAATGCCCTGGAATTTTCCCAGGAATGCGCTAGGCTTTGTCTAGATTTTGCGCTGGACGAGGTCCAGCCAGTGCCCGTGGTAACGTGAAAGGCCCCGGTAAGATTTTCGCATGCCTGTCAGGTGCCCGTGTCCGCGCCATGTGGCGTGTTGGTTCTAGGACGGAGCAGCGCAAACGGAAGCTCGGGGAGGTGATGGCGAGCTTCTCGCGCCAGCCAGGGAAGAGACCGTAGCCGGCACGCGCGCGTGGCGGAATGTCGGCAGTGCGGTAGGCCGGGGAGGGGGACGGAAGGGTGTGGAAGCGGGTGGTTCCACGGTAGGAGGAAGGACGTTGCCGTGGATGTGGGGAGGGTAGGGTTTCCTGGAGCACCCCTTGAGCCAAATGCAGGAGTCGTGAAGAGCCCCCGTCATCCAGGTTGTCGGGTGAGAGGCAGCCGGTGTTTGCGTTGTGCGTTTCCTGCGGGAGAAGGGCGGAAGCAGGTACCCAAAAAGTCGACTCGGCGCTCGGACTTGTGCTGAATCGATCGGTTTCTCCCGGTGACCCAACCCATCACCACCAAAGCAGGTACCCAAACAGTTGACTTTTTGGGTACCTCCCAGATTTACCATCGGACGTCATCGCTTCGCCGAAGACCCCTCGCAGGCCAAACTGCAAAGGTGGGTTCCACGATAGAGGACTCCCAGGTTTACCATCGGACGTCATCTCTTGCATGAACCCCGTAATGCTGAACCCTCGTCCCCATAAAGGATATCATTGCCCAAGAATCTAGACCCAACCCAGCACCACCAAAGCAGCTACCCAAAAAGTCGACTTTTTGGGTACCTCCCAGGTTTACCATCGGACATCATCTCTTGCATGAACCCCGTAATGCTGAACCCTCGTCCCCATAGATTGCCCAAGAATTTCGACCCAACCCAGCACCACCAAAGCAGGTACCCAAAAAGTCGACTTTTTGGGTACCTCCCGATTTACCATCGGACGTCAGCTCTTGCATGAACCCCGTGACGCGTTGGGTTCTGCGGCCTGTGGGGCCGCAGGGCGCTGTCCGTGGTCTAGGGTACATTCAGGCGCCACAAGTGTCGGCGCCCGGACTTGTGCTGAATCGATCGGTTTCTCCCAGCGACCCAACCCATTACCACCAAAGCAGGTACCCAAAAAGTCGACTCGGCGCCCGGACTTGTGCTGAATCGATCGGTTTCTCCCGGTGA